TTTTTGGATCGTTAAGAGTTAGTAGATGCACCGGTAACAGGTTAGAAAGAGTTATATTACTATTCTCCAGTGTTGTGGTAAAGATGTGCAGTGAATAAAAATTTAAAAAATATATATATAAAACAACACTAATTTTTTTTATCTTTTCTAAGTTATTTTTAAGTTATTGTTACATTATGTTATGTAAGTTAAGTTTTAGTATCATTTCCCTTCTCCCTCTCTTCTGCCACCAGTTTATACCTCCACTGTCATCTATCCTCAAAGGTAAAGTGCAAATAAAACTACATTTTTTTAAATCAATTGTTATTCTATTATGGTTATTTATACACTTACAACTACAAAACACATTTTTCAGTGTTTTCCTTACTATAGTTATTTTTTTTCCAATCTACTACTCAGCTTTAATTTGAGAGTGTTTTTCGTGTTGGAATGAATTATTTGTTTTTACATGTAATTGTATGGGGAAAAATGATTCACCTTACGACATTTTCATGATAAGATCTCAGTTTCGGAACGGATTAATTTCGTATCCTGAGGTACCACTGTATTTAGATTACAGGTTCCAACAAATAATATTCAGTGTCTTACCACAAATATGCTACCTATTGATTATTGACAATCTATGACATGCCATAACAGGCAAAAATTTAAAAAAACTTATAAGCAGGCTTAAAATCAATAAATACAAATGTATTCTGATAGTTTATGAGTTAATTATACTTTCTATTTGCAAAATTTCCTCAAACTTAACACAAAATAAGAAAAAAGTTAACTTTAAGAAATTTGCAGTATTTTCCAGGATGAAATGAATATCCTGGGATATTTCCAGGATTAAAAAACAGCCGGGATACCAGGATTCCTATATACCATATGTCATGTAACTGATGAAATTTATTAAGCAAACAGAATACAGATACGTGTACAGAATGCAGTTTTCGTTAATTAATAATTAATAGTAATAATATAAACGTGAAGATAAACAGCACACGTCCAGCGAGAACCTCACAGATTGCCAGATAGGTTTTATAAAAAGTAAAGCAGAATTCCTTGAAATGTATCCCAAATTATCTTTAAAGTGGTCCAAATGTAGTATTGATATAAGCCTCAATCTGCTATTTGTAGCCCAATCGTGCAATCCCGAAAACCAGTCATATTTTATGAGATAAGAGAAAAAAAGATAGTCCATGGGTAAGTGACACCCAAAATGTGTTACTGTAAAAACAAAGCCATATTGACCAGATTACAGTTGTTCTTGGTCTATGTTTTTTTATAGTAAGGAGCCACTTCAATCTAAATGAATGAGTTAACATATGCATATCATATTTTGAACAGAATTTTCACTTTGAATTACAAAGTAGCTGTATTTCAAACTAACCAAATTCCTTAATGTGAAAATCTCTATCTCTGGCCAGGACAAAAGTACAGTTATGAACTAATGGGATTTTGAACTATCAGTGTTTGAATTAAGGAGGATTTCTTGTGTTGTATTTTTTTTTTATTTAAAAATAAAATCATACGCTGAAAGTCAAATATATTAAAATTACTTTAAAATAAATAATTAAATATTTCCAAGATTAGTTTATTATATCATTAATACTGGAATTAGTTATAAAAATTTTTCCCTAATTTTCTTAAAATTTTACAGATGGATTTATGACACAATCAATAATCATATTATTCTACAAATAATTGTAAATTATTTTTTAATTTTTGAGATAATGCATAAGGATAAATAAAATATTATGTAATAAATATCAAAACTTAATTTTTTAGATTAAAATACAAATTGATGTTGCTTGTCATACTTTTTATGTCCTTGTATTTCATTAATACAAAGTTGAATGCTTTCAAAAATTTACAGCTCAGTAACTAAAGTTTATATGAATATACCAATTTGGCACTTATAATATACATGCACATGCAAAACTGTATGTAAATTAAATACATAGATTTTCCCGTGTGATGTTATATAAATTAAATGCATAGTTTGTTAAATGTTATGTTGATTATTTAAATAACTTTTAATGCAGGCAAAGTATCTAACTATTATTAGAAAATTATTTTGTATTAATTGCTTGTTTTATTTCTTTGCTACATGCTTAAAACACTGAAAATATCCTCATGAAGTGATTGTATAATTTTTGCCTGGGGTTGTATCATTATTTGAAAGTGAAGAAACATTTTGTATAATTTATTTTAATGAAAAAAAATAGAATATTCTGAATTGAAAAATACCTTCAATAAAAATTATTACACACAACAATTTGGACAACTAAATCACAATGGCAGACTTTTTCATTAAACGTGTGGAAATTTTTCAAAGAATCACCTCTGCTAAGATTAATAATCTAGCCTCAAGAGGGGATGATTTTTTCAATCCCAAAATGCATTGATGCTATAACAAGTGTGATTAAAGTGTTTTGAATGAACTGATCTTGTCTCCTGATTAAAACAGACTACATAAGACAAAACTTATGATAAACGGATGTAATTCTTTGAAAAATTTCCATGTATGTTTAAAAATTATTACTGTGAAACAATCCTATGATATTTCTCTGATGGATAATCATTTAATTCATTAATAAACAAATTCTGTACTTATACAAACATCACAAAACCTAATTTCCTTTTTTGGCCGATTCTTTTCTTCCAGAATATTCTAAATTATTTAATAAATATTAATTTAATTATAATTACTAAATTTAATAATAGATAACACCTAATGTTTCCCTCTAGTAAAAAATTATTTAGAAATTAATTAAATATAATTGCAGAAAAAGTAGTCCAAATTCTGTACTGATATCAAGATTTTAAACTTTTTAGAAGTTATGATTAAGCCTTGGTTACAGATTAAAATAGTAGATTTGTTTATGAAGCCATTGTTATGAAATGCTATTTTGAGAAGTTTTTGAAGTTCTGTTCGTACATCTGATAGCTGAACAAATTAGCATAAAAAATTGAATTGCACTAGATAGCCTCTTGTTCTCATTTTTATATTGTTAAAAGTAGGCATAAAATTAATCACACAGGAACATAGGGATAGATATATCTGGTATAGATATATAGGCTTTATTACAGGAGAAAGTGCATTTTGGACTATATGTCCCTCACAATACTTACAAGTTAGATGATAGACATACAGTGATAGTTGCAACTCAACTTTTTAATGTGCTTTGTTTCTTTTTAGAATATACAATACAGTACCTTTTACAGTTTTAATAAAATTTTATTATACTCTCCTTTTTATAATTTACAGGTAATCCTTTTAATACCCTAGTTTTATTTAAAATTTTTTTATTGTTTACTTAACTTACAATCTCAATAAAGTTTATTCCTTTTAGAATATACATGTTTCCTTTTGCAAACTTTTTATGTTTTATTGTCTTAATAAAAGTTTATTATACTCTCCTTTTATAATTTATAGGTATTCCTTTATGAATAATTTATTTAAGACTTTTTACTGTTCATTTAATTTACAATTTACTTAATTACCTTATTGTTATTAGAATCCAGTTGTCACTATTATAACTACAACACACATAATCTCTACCATTCTTGTTATATTGTGTTCATTATAATTTTATGTATATTCATAACTGTAACTTAAAAATTTATAATGTTTTTAAACATATTGATGTTAAATAAAGAGGACTGATCAGGGATATATATAGTCCAAAATGCATTTCCTCCTCTAATAAAGCCTGTGTATCTATCCTAGTATGTTCCTGTATGATTAGTTCTATTAAGCAATCTTGTGTTTACTTCCAACAATAAAAAATTGAAGTTTTAAATATAGATATAAAAGTTTATATTGATAACACTATCTCAGTCCAAATGCCTGTAAGTCTACCATTCTCATGAGAGGCATCAACTCTAGCATAACATGGTGTCTCCATATCTTGCTACCTTCACGCAGACAACAGCACATTAAGATTATTGCTAGCTATAGTTACATCCATTATAGACAGGTCTGACTTGTTAAAGGTTATAGCTGAGAAACAGTAAAATAGAATCCCAACCTGTACTAACCATGATAAATTATAGGATTGACCAGATGAGAGTTTAAATTCCCTCATGGCAATAGAGCAATATCTTAAATATGATTTAAGTTCTTTCATATAGTGTGTTCTAACAGTTGCATGCAGTAAAATGACACCAGTCTGATGTCACTGCATCTTTGGATTTGTCTAAAACCTATCCTAATCTAGAACTATATCAAACAATGCTATACAGGGGTAAAACCAAAGTTAATTTTCAGTCAGAACATGCCAGTATGTCATACTGGCAGATAGCATAAAAAGTATTGATAATTAGTACGTAGTCCTAGTATTGTTCAGTAAAAACAATTTACATGTTCAGTCACCATATATGCATATCAGAAGTAATATTTTTTAAAAAAAGAGCACTGGATAAAATTAGATATTGCATTGCATTGATAAACACACTGAATACAATAACTTAAACCAGGCTCTACTATGCAGATATTTACATGACTAAACTATTTAGATATTGAGTTTTAACAAACCAATTTAAACAATATTTTCAGTAGTAGATTTCCTCTTGTTCTCATTTTAATTGTTATGATTAAGCATAAAGATTTCTCGAGAGAATGAATCATACAGGAAAACACAATGAAGATAGAATTTTTAGTAATATGCAACTCAATGTAATAATTGTCAATGTAAAAATTGACGCGGTTTAAACTATATCATGGAACCATAAGTTTAATTTCAACATCTGAAAAATAATAAAGTTTCTAAAATTATTCTATAAAATAATATTAAAAATAAATCAAGCCCTATTGGAATACATCTATTAATTAATTTTTCAAAATAATTTAGCAAATTAAGTAAGAAAAACAAAAAAATGAACTCAAACTGCAAATAAATCTAAGTATCAAAATGCTTATTTGTTTATAAACAAACATCTTTTCAGCAATTATATATAGACTATATTTTAAATTTTATAAAAAAAAAATAAAATAAAATATTTAACCATATTAAAATACAATTTAAAAACAAAAATATAGACCAGAATTTATAATAGAATTTTTTTTTTACATCTATGTGTCAACTTTTATATAGAGTTTTAATATGCGTTGTGCGGACAATACATGGTGCACACTGGCGAAAACTCACACGTGACGTCATTACGTCGGTAGATTATGGCGGAAGTTCTCCCGACAGCAGGCAAAGGCTATGGCTTTTCCATCCATTACGAATTCATTTTACATTGCATCGTTCTGCAAAATCATAACACAACGAAGTGAACTGTTTAATTAAAATTTTATTACGCTTAACATTCAAGTTAATTGCCATTTACTTCATTAAAAGTAACAGCATATATACGTAAACACTGATGAAGGCATTTTCTATCATCCTCTGCTTCCCTTTAAAACAATATTTTACCTTTACAACTTTAACGCGTACGATATTTGTTAACTACAGAGAAAATTATTAGAAAATGGAGACTTTAAGAAAGTAAGAAGCCGTTTAAATGGACTGAAAGACTGTCAGAGCATAGTGAAAAGTTTCACGACATAAAACTCACTCACCATTGTCGATTCACTTAGTCGAACTCTTTCAACAACAAACTATGAAGATACCGTTGATTGGCTTTCCGCTGGCGCACCTTAAACTAACGACTGCAGCGCCACGTTTACTAAATTTATATAATCTGCTATCACGTGATTATTAATTTTTAACTTGTTCATTGGTCGAGAGTCGAGTTGTAATTTTATTTTAAAAAAATTTAATTTTACTCGTAATAAAGTTTTTGAATCATTTTCTAACGCTTTAATTTCGATAATATATTTATGATTTACATTATTTACAATTATAAAGTTTTTATTTATATATTTATAAGTTTTACAAAATTTTTAATTAATTCAATTAAATTACTATTTATTTTTATTAATTTCGACATTAAATTACATTTTTTTAAAAAATTTCATTCTGTTCTATAATAATTATCACATTAATTAAATTATTTTTCAATGGAATTTATTAAAATATTCTTTATATAATTAAATCTTTTAAAATAATATAATTAACATTTATATCGATAGATGGCGACATAGTTCAGGAGTTTCGTAAATTGATTTCGGAAAATACACATGTAAATATAACAAGGAATATGATTGTTGGAATAAACTAGAACACAGAAGTAAATTAATTTGTTAATATACAGCCGACATAAAAAAAAATAACGATAATAAAATTATTTAGCTTAGACATTTAGGCTTTTATTTAACAGTTCTTTATCTTACATTTCATTTTACGGTTTTATTTAACGAGAGATTTTGTATGCTGTCACATATTTCATCAATTTTACTTGTAGACGAATCATTTATTCTAGTGGTAGACTTTAAAGATGATTCTCCGTTATCCAATGAAGAAAGGCATTTATCTTTTGTATCAATTGCTATTTCAGTAGATTCTAAATCACTTTTGTTAGGAGAAAAGAAAAGGTATATATACATTAAAACCAATTTTACAATAATTTTAAATATCAATTAACATAATCAGTAACAAATACACTTTATTATGTATATCCATTCAAAACCATACAACAGAAAATCTTTCTTACTCATTGTCGTTGGTCTGTCCCTCTAATATAATATAGCCTATATATATATAGAATCCGATGAATATAACACATACCCGTGTGATTAAAAAGTATCAGAAATGGTTTAATAAAACGTAAGATTTGAATTTATTTATCAAAATTATATTTATTCACCTTCAGTGTAATCTGCTCCCATTGCAATGCACTTATGCAACTTTTTCGTGAAATCCCTTCAGGAGTCGCAGCGAATTTTATTTTATTGCATCATTCCACTCAAAACGGTAACCACAAAGCGGACATTTTGTGGTATTAGTTCCGTTTGTGGTATTGTTTCGTTGAGAAAACAAAATTTAATGGGCGTTCTTTGCTCAATTATGATCGACATTTTGAAAAATCTCCGGGGCAAAATTCTTTACACACGAAAACACACTATAACGTATGAATTGTCGTTAGATTTCGATGAATGCCGTACCAAAAAACGAAAAAAAAAATGACGACAGCGCCCATTTGCACTCACGCAGTTTAAATGAACCATTCCCAATACTTTTTGATTACAGTAGTATATAATTAAGAAAAATCTCCAGAATTTTATGAGTGGCCTCAATATTTAATTAATTCTTATTTCAGATTCCAAATGTGATATTTTAATGTCTTAAAATTTAATTCGATAATAGTCGTATTTTTCTTTTCTGGTCTGTATTAAGATAAACCATCCAAGAAGGAAAAGGATAGAGAAAACTCTCTAAAAACATGTAGAAAATTCCTATCTTAAATTGAATTTAGATCTTCTCAAAGTAAGACAATACATATATACTCGTATATAAAATAAATATTCAAAATCACAATAGAGTATCATATATCTAAAAAATTACTAGAAAAATAGCATGCTTACAATTGTAATAATAATTCAAAAATTACGGAAAGCTCTGGGAATTTCACAAAAAACTTAAAATTTCCGGTTTTATACCCGTTTTTCCCAATTTTTATTCAACGAGACATCTTACCGAATGTATAGTATTAGATCGAGAATTAGTTATTTTTGAAAACCATAATACAGTACTCAGTGCCGTAACTAGCCATTCCTGTGCCCTGTGCAAGAATTTGCATTTAGGCCCCTTAATTAATTAGGTTTGGGAAAATAATTAAACAAATACATGCATTTTGGGTCCCCCTTCCAAGTGGGCCCTGTGCGGGTGCACCTGTTGCACCAGCCTAGATACAGCACTGTCAGTACTGTTAGAGGTTTCTGAACAATCTTCTGAACGATTTTTATTTCTCCTATTAGAATTTTAATTCCACTTAATAAACTAGTTTGTATAGCGTAAGCCCAATAGTAGCCAAACTGTTCCGTTCCTTGAACACTGATAGTTTAAGCATGGGTTCGCGCCTAGCCTATCCGGTCACGTGGAGTTTTTTTGGTTTTCTCCACGTCTTTAACGTCATACTGTTTGAAAAGGAGAATATTAAGTTATACAGTATTTGAATAAGTTTGACGTAGAAAACACTAATTTAAAGAAGTGGATATTCTATAACACAAAGTAGTTTAGCCCAAGTTATTCTTGTATTTTTTACAGTTATTTAATTTTGATGGCAATTCTTGAATGTTTTATAAAATAGACAGAAATTGTTTTTTTCAATTCAAAATGAAAAATATATCCTTCATATGGTATCTAAAAGGAAAACGTGTGTTCTTTTTAAATACCATATAGTGGCCTGTCTATAAGTCATGAATTGAAATTCCAAATGAATCGTATAAGAGTTATGGCCATTTTCACAATTTTCTCATAATTATATACAGTACATTAGAGTCTTGTTTTACGTAGTAGTAAAACAAGACGTTATTGTATCAATATATACGATAACTACTTTCTTTATGATTTAAGCAAACTTACAGATCAAGTAAATCGTTACTTTTTGTAGTAGGATCCCATTGATGTAATTGTGACCTCCATATTCTTATTTGTTTGTCCCATGAACGTCTACTGTACTTCCGATGTTTATTTGGAGTTCGAGGATGATGTTTACTACGTTTGCGCCTTAAAATAAAGAACGAGTAATAATTAACATTTAAACAGTTACACCTCTTGAATATTTTAAACTATATTTTAAAACATCATTTCTCAATAAATATTTAAAAATACATGCAAAACAGTGATAAAATATAACAAAAATTCTTAATAATCTAGCTTTATACCGTTAAAAAATAATGCTTTGTATGCTTCGAATTCTTGATGAAATATCCTGAAATCGTGTATTAAAGTTATATATTCAAATATATTTTATTCCATTGGTATCGTAAATACCTCTACTAATTACAAAACAGTAGATATGAGAATTTTGAAGTAGAATTTCACATCTACTGAAAATTTTTTGTTATCAAATTATGAGATCTGTTCATAATATTCGTTGTTTAGCGTATATTTATTTGCTCCCCAAGTATTCATTTAAGTTTTTTTCATATTTGACTCTTTCCTCCCTGTGGGGATTAACAGGGAGCTTTTCCGATTCATCGTAGTGACCAGGCCCACTATGGGGGGGCGGGTGGTGAAGACGGTGTCCGACATATCCGGGATAGACTACCCACGAAAAATTCCTAGGTTTGCTAGGTACCAGGTCTTCAGAGCGGTAGGCTAATGTCTTAACCCCCTTGTTCATCCGTTCATCACATTTATTATGATTTCTTGTCTTTTTTATATTGAATTTAAATTCTAGACTCAATTTTGCGCCCCGCGTGACTTTGGCCAGATCCACAATGGGACAACTGGGTGATGACAGGGCCCAAAATATCTGGACGGACTACCTGAAAATATCCTGGGGATTTTCGACTCATCCAGATTCGATTGAATTGACTGGATTAGACAATGCAACTTATAGGCAATCTGCCAAGGAAAGATTGTTTCCTGGAAAACTGGCCCTTGCCTCTATTCAGGTGTTAGACATGCGAATAAAACCTGGAAAAGTCCACGTGGCCAGCTCGTTGATGAAATTTTATACATAATCTTTTTACGATAAAAGCAAACATTTTAGATTGGATTATGCAATGGCGTGCCATCCATGGAAGCTGTTGAAGCGTCTCTTCCCTGTATTTTCTAAAATATAAATACATATTGTGCGATTATTTTCATATTTTAAAGTGGGTTACTTTGAATTATTTAAAATTAATATTTTATTATAACCGTATTATGTATTTTATTACAAATTTCTATACTATATGCGAAAAAAATGGTAAGGTGGCTATTGTATATTACAGTGATTCTCAATTTTTTTTTCGTCAAGGTACACTTTTAATAATTTAAAAATTTGGCGGCACTTCGGTAAGTATCGCAGGACAACCGGTAACATCATAACAGTAATTTTTAAACGCTGTTGGTTATTTAGGTCACGCCTTGGTAACTATTGGCAGTTACCGGTAACACCGGTTACAATTTCGAAACGCACCCTAGGAAGGTAGAACCGATTGAACTACTTGTCTGGTGTTGCTTATGTATGGGTATGGGCAGTGGCGGCACACTTCAAAAATCTTGCGGCACAGTGGTTGAAAATCACTGGTATATTAGAATATAAATCCGTATATGCATATTCCCGATGGAAGCGCTGTATTGTAGAATACGGGACAGCTTCCACGGCGAAAATATTTGAATGATGTAAAGTAGCCTGATTATACGCATTCGCGTATGCTCTTTACAGAGCACCAACCTCACGCGGTTTAGCTCGTGGATGCTGCACACCAAAATATCGTATAACGCTTCCAATGATTCTATACAAGGCCAGCACAGCTTACCTATCATCAAATGTCACCGCACGCTACTAGGATTATGGAATAAGGAAACGTAGCTCATAAATCTGCTAAGCTGAGTGCCTCCCGAAGGAGTTTCTATGAGAAAATAGCCCTTATTTAGGTGTTATACACGAGAAGAAAACACGGAAATCTCCAAACGAAACCAGTCCTTTGTCGAGATTCAAACCCGCAACCAACTATCAGTTCTTTGGTGGTTTTTATCCACTCGGTTACTAGTGGGCGCAATTCTTAAAAAAAAATATAGTATTCAGAAAGTTTCACGAAAAATCTTCAGCTTTAAGATCGTTTTATTAGTTACGGAAACGCAACACTTGGGCGATCTGCCTAGGAGGGATGCCTTCCAGGAAGTCTTTTAAGGGTAACTGCTCTCTATTTAGGTGTTAAAGACGTGAAGAAACACGGAAAACTCCACCGAACTACCAGTGTTCAGAGAACGGAATCGCTTGGCCACTGGTGGGCCCTTTCAACTTTAAGAAATAAAATAAATTGAAAACAAAATACAACACTTTGCTCATCCGATCTATCCAATTATCCAGATTACAGCAATGAGATCGTTTATATATTTCCGTTTTTATGAAAATGTTATTCGGGTTTCATATTTGTTTACAGTGAAGAACAAAAGCTATTCACCACCTAAGCTAATACATGTGGGCGCAGCTTAGTGGTCGCCATATTGTGCGTGGAAGAATGAACTGTGTATATTTGTCAAAGCATTGTATCTGAGTTAATTTTGTTTAAACGATATAATTTGAAGAGTAGCTGACAATAGCATATAAATCGATAAAATTATATTGTGTATTGTAGATGCACTGTCGTTAATTTCATTTTTAAGCATTTATAAACAGATGAGTATTTGATGGGATAGAGACACATGCCCTTTATTTCATGTTCGGGTTTTTTAGAGATCAAGAAGAAGGCTTGGAATAGTGGAAAATTTAAACAATGGGAAAATAGTGGAATGTAAAGTATAGGAGTGAATGCTGTCAAGAAGGAACGTAAAAGAAGAATAAGACTATATGTTTTAGAACATGTGGAGTTGTTCTGTAATTTTAAAACATTATAGTTTTTTCATAGAGTTTTCATCGATTAACTACTAACATCATAGAACTCCATGCGGTCAGCTCTTTTGTCAGACACGAACCAGTGTTCAGTAGATGAAACCATTAAACAATGGTGACACAAAAATTATAAACAATGTTTTAGAAAATATTTTTTCGAAGAAAATTTTGACAACACCACCCTAAATTTGTTTAAACAAGAATATTAATTTTAATCTATAATAATTGTATATTTACTTAGGTATTTCAGAAATATATTTCTGATATTCAGGTGTAATTTTTCCATACTGTATTTGTTTTTCTCTTCTTTCCAAAATAACAGAATCTGTTTCAAAAATTACTCTGAAAATAAAAAACAATGAGTAAACGTTTATTTCCTGATAACTACTCTATCGGAATTTAATCAAAATTATTGTGAAAATGTATAATAATCTAAACGCTTATTTGTATTGTAAGATCTACAGTACATTCGAACCGAATGACCAAACAAGCGATGGTAGTCTTCCGTCCAACGAGATATTAGAATAACAAAGAGCTACTTTATAACTGTGTTGGAAAAGTGGAGGCCATGACAGTTCGAAAACTCCGAGTGACTGCATTATTGAATCAATAATACTCGTTTTTTTGTTTCTATCCGTTATCAAAAACAAGAAAATTTGTGAAATTATAATTATAACTAATTTATTAAACTATTACATAGGCTATATATGCTTTTTATTAAGAGTTTATAAAAATTAATTTGAAATAGCAAAAAAAAATATATATATATACAGTAGACCCCATAACACAGGTTCATATAATACGGATTCATATAACACGGCAAAAAAAATTGTGATCGTGTTCGTATAAACACGCTAAAAGAGACTCGTATAATACGGTAAAACGTCATCGCCGACTCGTGTCGCGACAGAATTGGTCGAATCTAGACCAATAGCGGATATTGCACAAACCGTTGAGTTTAAACGAACAGCGGACTTACTAAAAACCATTTATTATTTAACCGCCATAAAAATTATATTTATATTAATGATGTCTCCAAAGTTCAGTGAATTTTTCGCAGAAAAATAACTTATCAGAAAACACGCGCCCGCCGTTCGATGCGCCGCTCCGCGACGAAAACAAGCTTAA